CTGTCAGCAGGGCTTCCTTGACCAGATTCATTCTGTATGCTCGCTCAATGTGTCTACAACATCTCCTTTATCCACTTCTGTTCCTTCCCAATATGCTGACCTAGCACAAGTCTTTGAGAAGAAGGAGGCTGACAAATTACCTCTGCATCGTCCCTATGACTGTGCTATAAATCTCTTACCAGGCAATATGCCTCCCAAGGGGAAAGACTACTAGACATGTGCAATTTGATTCGAATTGCCAAATTTCGGAAATTCAGTAGTGCCCCTGAATTTCTGAAAAGTGGCAATACAGGCGAGGGTTGGGGTTAGGGGATGGGTTAGGGTAGGATTAGGTAACCTTAACCCTATTCTTAAACCTACCCTTACCCTACCCCTACCCTAACCCTACTCTGACCCTAACCCTGCTCCTAATCCAACCCTACCCCTAACCTTAACCCTACCCCTAACCCAACACTAACCCTACTTCTAACCTTGCCCCTAACCCTAGCCTAAGCCTATCCCTAACCCTACTTCTAAACCAACCCTAACCCTACCCTAACCTAACCCAACCCTAAGTCCTGAAGTGCCGAAGTCCCGTATTTTGGAATGCCGAACCGAATATTTTGCCCATGCACATCCCTAAAGTCTACTCTCTCTCTCCGCGAAGGAGAAAAAAAAGTTATGGAGGAATACATACAAAACTCCCTAAAAAAGGGCTTTATTAGAAAATCCTCCTCTCCTGCAGGGGCAGGCTTCTTTTTTGTTACACAGGCCTTGTATTGACGATAGGGGTCTTAATAGAATTACTATTAGGAATGCCTATCCTATCCCCCTCATTACAAAGCTATTCGACCGCGTTAAAGGTTCCAGATACTTTACAGAACTCGATCTCAGGGGTGCTTATAATCTAGTGAGAATAAAAGAGAACAACTAGTGGAAAACAGCTTTCAACACTCAAAGTGGACATTACGAGTATCTGGTAATGCCTTTTGGGCTCTGTAATGCCCCTGCGGTCTTTCAGGACTTGATTAATGATATCCTCCAGGATCTTCTGCACGTATGTGCTTTAGTATACCTGGACGACATTCTCATATATTCCCCAGACCTCAAACCCCACCACAAACCCATTAGGCTGGTACTCGAGAAACTGCTATAGAATGGTCTGTACTGCAAATTGCAGAAATGTCTCCTCGATCAGACATCTGTGCAGTTCTTGAGGAATATCATTTCAGAAGAGGGTTTTAGTATGTATCCCTCCAAATTGAAAGCTATTGTGTCCTGGCTGCTCCCACAAAGCCATCCAACGGTTCGTAGGCTTTGTGAACTACTATAGAAAGTTTATTAAGAACTTCTCCTCCATTATTGCCCCTATCACCAAGATGACCAAGAAGGGTACTAATTTTTTAATTTCGTTTCCCGAGGCTCTTAAGGCCTTCGAAACGCTTAACCAAGCATTTACAACAGCCCCTGTTCTGCATCATCCTGATCCATCACTAGCATTTATTGTTGAAGTTAATGCCTCTGAGTCGGGAGTGGGAGCTGTCCTCTCTCAGATATAAACCCCTAATGAATGCCTCCACCCATGCTGTTTCTTTTCCAAAAAGATATTGTTATAATTTACTATAGTGATATTGTAAATTAATCTCGTTATATAGTGATATTTTAGATTAATATAGCAATATCATTATAAATTAATATAGTGATATTGTGGCATTTTGGAGAGGCCTGCTTGCCAGCCTCTTGCCCTGTGATTATGGCCCCTGTGACTTATTGGGTTTTAAGGCACTTGTGAAAGACCTTTATGCCCCTGGATTTCAAATGTCTCCCTATTTGGGCTTATGGGGTTGTAATACACTCTTTCTGCCACTTTAACTCCTGTGGGAAAGGATCTGCAACTACAGCTGAAGTGACCGCCATTCGACATACGAACGCGTGGCGGCGGCCATTTTAATTAAGTTGAACGCGTTCATGGGCTAAGTGTTTGGTCGTCGAGTTCATGGAACCCAAATTGGATACGCGACGGCACGAACACCGATGAACTCTATCTTCTCCAGACTTCAACGGAAATCGAATTGCGTTCGAATATTCGAACGCCACGTTAACAGTGGATATCTATCGGCTCCCGTTTGTGCATTCGAACAGAACTTAGCATTTGAAACTGTTAGAAATAGACCAGCCGCACAGTCTAAATCTGTGGAACTGTTTTGGGCATGAAAGCTATGCTTGCGGTCGGTCAAATGTGACTTCCATGGAATTCGTGAACCCCTGCTCTGATCTGGGTGATTTTTGGTTATGTTGTTCACCCAGATCACTGCTATCCAGGATGTATAATTTGTGGGGATATGTTGTTGTTTTGGGGAGTTTCTGTGTTTTGGGTAAAACTGTGTATTTTCTGCCTGTGGTAATTAAGTTAGCCCATTGTGTTTGTTACTTGTATCACAGGCAGAGGGGAGGGTTTGTGTACATTAGCTGGGAGTGTCTAACTGTACTGTACTATGTTGATTGGCTGTTGTAACTTTGTGTCCTGTGTTCCACAATGTCCACGTGGGTGGTAAACTTGTGGGGAAATGTGTATATAAGAAACAATAAAGCCTCAGTTCATTCTGTTCCTGCTTACACTCCAAAACTGTGTGTTGTCCTGTTTTTGGAGGGAAAGAAGATTTGCTCCTGTGTCTGCTGTTCCAGCTTACAGGAGATTCAACATGGAAAGTCCTTGTAAGGACTAGAGCTAATTCCCCATTCAGCTCCAGGAAGGAGCAGTTCCAGGGCCCCAGTCCAACCACGGTGACTGTGGGCAGAAGTGCTGCGGTTTGTCCCCTGTTCCCAGCCGGGGTACAGGGAGCTCTGCTACAGATAGAGATATTATTATAAATTAATATAGTGATACAGTGATATTATTATAAATTAATATAGCGATATTATTTTGAATTAATATAGTGATATTATTATAACTTAATATAGCGATATTAATATAGTGATATCATTATAACTTAATATAGCGATATTATTATAATATAGTGATATTGTTATAACTTAATATAGTGATATTAATATAGCGATCTTATTATAAATTAATATAGTGATATTATTATAACTTAATATAGTGATATTATTTATATAGTGATATTATTATAAATTAATATAGTGATATTATAACTTAATATAGTAATATTATTAATATAGCTATATTATAAATTAATATAGTGATATTATTATAAATTAATATAGTGAAATTATTATAAATTAATATAGTGATATTATAACTTAATGTAGTGATATTATTAATATAGCGATATTATTATAAATTAATATAGTGATATTATAACTTCATATAGTGATATTAATATAGCGATATTATAATAAATTAATATAGTGATATTATAACTTAATATAGGGATACTATTAATATAGCAATATTATTATAACTTAATATAGTGATATTATTAATATAGTGATATTATTATAACTTAATATAGGGATACTATTAATATAGCAATATTATTATAACTTAATATAGTGATATTATTAATATAGCTATATTACTATAAATTAATATAGTGATATTATTACTATAGTGATATTATTATTAATAGTGATATTATTATAACTTAATATAGTGATATTATTAATATGTCTCTGTCCCCCATGCCTCCCTCCCATGTCTCTCTGTCCCCCATGCCTCCTCCCATGTCTCTCTCTGTCCCCCATGCCCCCTCCCATGTCTCTCTCTGTCCCCCATGATGTCCTCATCTCATGTTTCTCTCTTTCCCCCCATGCCCCCTCCCATGTCTTTGTACTCATGCCCCCTCCCATGTCTTTGTCCCCATATGCCCCCTCCCATGTATTTCTGTCCCCATGCCTGCCTCCCACATATTTCTGTCCCTCATACCCCCCTCCCCTGTCTCTCCCTGATGGCTGCCCTCCTTGCCATTTTACCTGTTAGAGCATGGAAGGGGGGCGGCCTCTCGCTGGCGGTGCACTCTCATACTGAGCGCCGGGTAGTCACGTGACACCCGGTGCGCCTACACAGAACGGAAGGAGGGGGATGAGCTTCCCCCTCCTGGTGAGTACTGTGTGTGCAGTCAGGGCTGGTGCAAGGATTTTTAGCTACGCAAGCGAAGATGCATTTTGCTGCCCCTTCCCCCCACCCGCAAAAAAAGTGCATCTTCACCTGTGTGTCTTGTAACCCCCCCTTTTGAATTTCTTACCCTCTTTAGTGTTTCATATCCCCTCTTTTGAATGTATTACCCCTCTTAGTGTGTCTTTGTTTGTCTCTTACTTACACCAGTCCCCTTTTTGTGTCTCTTACCCCCAGCCCCTTTCTTTGTTTTTTTTCTCCACCACAGTCCCGCTATGTGGCTATTTCTCCCCTTAGTCCGTTTTGTGTGTCCCTCCCCTCCAGATCCCTTTGTGTGTCTTTTCTTCCAAGCCATGTAGACATAGATATGCAGGCAAAAATACAAACATACTTACACAATCATAGAGGCACACAGACATTGTTTTTTTAAAGCAATCAAACAATGTCATACAGGTACACTGTCATACAGACACAGACATAATCATGCAGAGGCATACAGACACAGGCAGAGACATACAGAGTGAGTATAATCCCATTATATATTATACTAACTGATTATAATCCTATTATATATTATACTGAGTGATTATAATCCTATTATATAGTATACTGACTGATTATAATCCCGTTATATATTATACCGAGTGATTATAATCCTATTAATATATATATATTCATGTTGAAGTCCTGCAATGACTGAAACGTTGCCCCTTCTTTGTATTACTCGGTGCTTGAATAAACAGCACGATTAGAAATATTATGGAGTCCTGTGAGTGCACTTCAACAAGAACCTATATACACTTATGGTCTGAGTTTGCACCGAGGCATTAACAAGACCGGGAGCATATATATATATTTTATGCTTGTAATTGTGTATATAAATGATATACAATTTAATAAAATCAGTGACACTTTCTATGATGTAAATAAAAAAAAATATATATCCTTCGAGCCGGAATTGAACCAGCGACCTAAGGATGTCTGACTTACGCTCTACAGTCCTCCGCTCTACCAGCTGAGCTATCGAAGGGATACAACTTATACTGTTGATACACTGTATTGTATTACAGTGAATAGCGTCTATATGTAAAAATACATGGATATGTATAAATCAGAAATGATGGAATACATTGAGGTTTCTGTAGTGTAGTGGTTATCACGTTCGCCTCACACGCGAAAGGTCCCCGGTTCGAAACCGGGCAGAAACATTTTTTTTTTTTTTTTTTTTCATTGTAAAGAGGACATTCTAGGTACTATAATCGTTTCACTTTTTTTCGTATGCTGATATTTAAATACAAAATGTAAAATAAAGCAATCACTATTGGATCAGGGCAAAAAAACAGAAGACTGGGAAAATGTAAAAGTAGTGTGTTAAAACATTTTAGCTTTTTGTAGGAAGATTATTATACATTCATTTATGGATTGGATATTTTCCTTTACAGATTCAAAAACAGCATCAAGTCACTAGAACTCAGGCTGTCGACAATAAAAGATAACCCTATGGTACTCTGACTGAGTACCTACTCATATTTCTGAAAAGTACATAAAGTACATTAAAAAACAGTTTTGTTTTAAAATCATATCAGACAAATGGCGGCCATCGTTGGCAATACATTGCTGAAGACGTCCCTGGAATTGCTCCATTGCTCTCCGGGTCATCTCAAGTGGAATGGCATCTATTTCCTGTCTGATCCTTTCCTTCAAATCCTCAAGAGATCGAGGAAGATGTTTGAAAACCTTTTATTTTAGTTAATCCCAAAGGGAATAGTCACATGGGCTTAAATCTGGTGACCGTGCGGGCCACCCCAACTCTCCCCTTAAAGAGATCAAACATCCATGGAACATTTCCCTCAACACTCCGAGTTGTGTGAGCTGTGGCCCCGTCCTGTTGAAACCACACATGTTCTGTCTCCACATTGTCCAGTTTGGGGTGCACAAAGGTCTCCAAAATTTCAATGAACCAGACGGAGGTCACAGTTACTGTCGCACCACATTCCTCAAAATAATACGGACCGATCACACCAAAGTCAGCAACTGCACAACAAACAGTTGCGTGAGGGGAGCGGTCATTCATAGTGTTTATGAGGGTTATGTTCGGCCCAATAGCAAACATTCTGCTTGTTTACAGCTCCGCTGATATGGAAGTGAGCCTGATGCTACACAGAGGAACAGCTGCCGTGGCAACCTGCTCAAGAATTTCCGCACTTAGGGCTCTGCAGTTGGCATGATCTCTCTCACTTAATTCTTGAGCCAACATCATTTTGTATGGATGCCGTTTTAAATTGGCATGCTGAATCCTCCTCAAACTCTGACTTGATATCCCCAGTGCCATGGCATGCTTATGAGCAGAACGCCTTGGCGATTGCGAATGAATGCCCTTACTGCTTCCACATTTTCTGGCATTCTAATGGTTCAAGCTCTGCCGGTTGATTTTTCCAGCAGTGCATTGTCTTATTGTTCCAAGGACACTTCCAGAGCAGTTCAAACTGGCTGTCCTGCCTTTCCTTTAAATCTATTTTGTGGTCCTTGCTATTGTCTGTCCCCACCCTTCCTTGTAATTACAGGGCTCCATTCACACTGGTTGTAAGTGTGGCAGTGTGATTGGTTGCTATCCCAAGTCCATACTGTTAATATTGTAAAATTATACTACTACCACTGCTCGTTCTGCGCACATTCAGAAAGTATTACTTTACTGAAAGGGTAGTGGATGCATGGAATAGCCTTCCAGCTGAAGTGGTAGAGGTTAACTCAGTAAAGGAGTTTAAGTATGCGTGGGATAGGCATAAGGCTATCCTAACTATAAGATAAGACTAGGGACTAATGAAAGTATTTAGAAAGTTGGGCAGACTAGATGGGCCGAATGGTTCTTATCTGCCGTCACATTCTATGTTTCTATGTTTCTAATCTCTAGTCCCCAGAACCACTTCAGCTTAATGTAGTGGTTCTGGTGTCCATAGCCTGTCCCTGCAGGCTTTTTAATGTAAACACGGCACCACTGCAGCACTGGCGTTAGTTAACATGGCAGATCATATGGGTGGGGCATTGTGTGTCACATGGGGAGGCGGCAAACTTTACTTTTGCCTAGGGCGGCAAAAATCCTTTGCCCGGCCCTGTGAACCCCATAAAAGGTATATCCTCTGATATCCCCGATTTGGGTGAGCAACATATCCAAAAATCACCTAGATCGGTTCAGGGGTTCGGGATTCGTATGGAAGTCTTATTTCTGACCGACCGCACACAAGGCTCCTGCCCAGAATAGTTCCATAGAATCAGGCTGTGCGGCCAGTCTCTTTCGTGGGCTTCAAATATAACGAAATGTCTCAAATAACTGTTCGTGGGAAAGCTCGAAAGATGAGCGCTCGTTGCCTTGTTTTCTCTGAAACTGTTTTGGGGCATCACTTCGTGGCAAACTGGTCAAAACTTCATTCGAATGGGGTTCCCGAACCACCAAAAGGATCTGAGTTATATTTTGACAGAGTTGGGCATTCAGATCCAAGCTATTCTGTGATGTGACTTTTGTGGGGTTCCGATGTTATTAAAATGTGTTTTAGAAAGATTTTCCTATAACTGAGAGATAATTGCATTATTATTTTCTGACGCAATTATCTCTCGGAAACAGAGAATAGAGAAGAAAACCCTTGTATTTTTGATATGGAAACCCCATGCTAGGGGGCAATGCACAAAAGTCGTGTGTGGCCAAAATAAACTCAGTTGTCTAGTTCCTGGGGGAAAAGGGCCTTGGATTACTACAGTCTTTTTTCAGCTTTGAGGAAGCAATAGTGGAGATACCTATGCTGGGTATTGGAGCTCCGCTACACTCACACCACACTGCACCCCAAACACAAAGTGCACCCCTCACACACAGTGCACCCTTTCCACACACTCAGTGCATCCCTTACACACACACACACACACACACATTACATTCCAGACACACACATACATACTACATCCCTTATACACACACACACACCGTAGATCCCGTACATAACTATGGATCCTCTTCGCATACAAACATACACACACTAGAATTCCTATACACACTCTGAATACTCTATATACACACACACACTAAATCTCCTACGCACACACTAGATCCTCTGTAAGCAAACACACACTACTTTCCCTAAACACAAACGTGAACGCTTTCTATTTTAAACAATTTGGACAGGAGCAGATATTCAGATAATCAGACACTTGGTTTGATCCACAACAGCCCTTCCATGATAATCCCAGGGATTCCAGCGCCATCTCCCACGGTTCTCAGGCTGTGTTCCAAGCTTCCATTTTGATGGTAACGTCACTTTCAGAACTTTGTCCATGGCGTCATTTCCAGCATTGGCGATGTCTCATATTTAGGTTTAGTTCTCATCCCTTGTGTTTCTAACGATGCAGTTAAATCTTCAGCATTGTGTTCCACTTCACGAGTCATAACTTTTCATTTCTCAACCTGTCCTTTCTCACCGAGAGCTGCAGCAATATACTATCACTTTCAGGGTTGACTTATATATAACAGTAAGAATATGACAAAATAAAATGCTTATACTTATTAAAATATATATATGTTAATGCAATTTAAAAAATAAATAAAATATGATAAATAAAAAATCTTGATCAATATATAATATAGTTTTATAATCATAACCCATTTGTTACAGCATTAAAGCTATGTCTAAAATACTGATCAGAGTATTTAATTAGGTAGATTTATGTTGAAGGCCATTAAGACTTCCTATTAATTAGGAAAAAAATAGTAACAAATTGGGCAGAGTCAAATTGCAGGTTTAGTGTTGCTTCCCTAAGATATAAAAGTCAGTAGCCACCTGATTAATTGTAATATGGTACCGAATTAGAATGCACTGATCATGTGTAACAGAAAAATTAACATACTCTAATTGCAAAGGCAGCATTAAAAAAAAAAAAAAAAAAAGTGTTTCTGCCCGGTCTCGAACCGGGGACCTTTCGCGTGTTAGGCGAACGTGATAACCACTACACTACAGAAACACTGAATGCACCAATTCATTAGACAGAGATCAGCACTATACAAGGAACACTGACTGTCCCAGGATATTATACACAGACCTATACTATACAGAGAGCAGCACTATATAATGCAACTCTGTCTCATGTTGCCTTATTGGGATGTAAAAGGGGGATAGTAAACGGGGCACTACACACAACTATATCTGACTGTGTGTGTGCGTATCTGACTGTGTGTATCTGACTGTGCGTAACTGACTTTATGTGCGTATCGGACTGTATGTGTGCGTATATCTGACACTGTGTGTGCGTATCTGACTGACTGTGCAAATCTGACTGTATCTAACTGTAGGTGTGTATATTATAAATGATATATCAGGATTATAGTGATTCACTGTAACAAGCCTTCGATAGCTCAGCTGGTTCGATTCCGGCTCGAAAGGACTTTTATAGGACATTATAGAAAGTGTCACAATTTAATTTTATATTTAATGGGATTATAATCACTCAGTATAACATAATAGGATTATAGTCACTCAGTATAATATATAATGGGATTAAAATCACTCAGTGTAACGGATGGACGGGGTACCTCCGTTGAAAGATGCTTCTAGTGCTTCCTGTGGACTCCCAGCACTGCAGCAGACACCAAAACCACCGTAGACTCCTTCAGAGAGCAAAAACTGGAACAAGCTCTTACAAGAGCTTAGTGATTATAGCAAGGGAGTATGCTGAGCATAGCAATCCCTTGTAGCAGATTCCCCCAATAAGAGGCGGCACTCCAAATTGAGGGTGAAGTAGAACTGAATTTTAATGACACACGCTCTGCTTTTATGCAATTCTCCCCTGCAAGCGAGACGCCCACAGACAATTACACATTACCCAATCACATAATGGTTACATCCCACACATCTCCTCCCCTTAGCCTGAGAGGTAACCCAATTATCCATACATTTTAAAACACACTTTTTACCCAACTTTCATAACTCAAAGAACTCTACATCCAATATTAATAAAAGTCACATATTATTAATCAGCACATTCCAAATA